TAGTAGTAGTAGTAGTAGTAGTAGTAGTAGTAGTAGTAGTCATAGGTCGTAGTAGTATAGTAGTAGTTAGTAGTAGTAGTAGGAGTAGGAGTAGGAGTAGGAGTAGGAGTAGGAGTAGGAGGATTATTTTTGTGATTATTATATTATTAATTATGATTTTAATATTATTATTAGTAGTAGTAGTAAGTTAGTGCAGTAGTAGTAGAGTATTAGTTAGTAGTAGTGTAGTGGTAGTCGTAGTCGTAGTCTAGCGTTGTCGATGTCGTAGTAGTAGTAGTCGTAGTCGTATTCGTAGTCGTAGTCGTAGTCGTATTCGTAGTCGTAGTCGTAGTCGTAGTCGTAGTCGTAGTCGTAGTCGTAGTCGTAGTCGTAGTCGTAGTCGTAGTCGTAGTCGTAGTCGTAGTCGTAGTCGTAGTCGTAGTCGTAGTCGTAGTCGTAGTCGTAGTCGTCTTCGTAGTCGTAGTCGTAGTCGTAGTCGTAGTCGTAGTCGTAGTCGTAGTCGTAGTCGTAGTCGTAGTCGTAGTCGTAGTCGTAGTCGTAGTCGTAGTCGTAGACGTAGACGTAGACGTAGTCGTAGACGTAGACGTAGTCGTAGTCGTAGTCGTAGTAGTAGTAGTAGTAGTAGTAGTAGTAGTAGTAGTAGTAGTAGTAGTAGTAGTAGTAGTAGTAGTAGTAGAGGAGTAGTAGTAGTAGTAGTAGTAGTAGTAGTAGTAGTAGTAGTAGTAGTAGTAGTAGTAGTAGTAGTAGTAGTAGTAGTAGTAGTAGTAGTCGTTAGTAGTAGTAGTAGTAGTAGTAGTAGTAGTAGTAGTAGTAGTAGTAGTAGTAATCGTAGTAGTCGTCGTCGTCGTTCTCGGAGGAGGAGGAGGAGGAGGAGGGATGGAGGAGGAGGGAGGCAGGAGGAGGAGGGGGAGGAGAGGAGGGCAAGCTAGGTGCGCTCGCGTCATATCTGACATCCTACCCCTCCCTCCCATCCCTTACCATGGCGTAGATCCCCTCTCTACTCGCACAGTCGGATGTCGAGCAGGGCAATGATCCCGAAAGGGTACGCGATGCATTGTAGAGCACGGCATGGCATGGCGTAGAAGAGCACCGCAAAGCGTAGTATCAACCTAGCATTGCATTGCATGCCGTGGCATGGCACGGGAAATGACACCAGCGCTGCAGCGGGAGCACGAGTCGGAACGAGCGGAAGCGCGGAAATGAGGCCAGCGCTGCAGCGGGAGCACGATTCGGAACGAGCGGAAGCACGGAAATGAGGCCAGCGCTGCAGCGGGAGCACGATTCGGAACGAGCGGGGTTCGAAAATGAGGCCGGCGCCTCAGCGAGAGCAGCATTTTGGAACAAATGCAGGCGAAAACCCAACTCCGGGGAATCTTGTGTGTAAAAAACAGTACGCCGGGGGGGGGGCTAACATTTTCAAACCGTCATCATCAGGGGAAGAGGGAGAGTAGTATTCATATTGAGTAATTGTGGATCAGAAAAGCCAGAAGCCTCTTGGATGCCTCTCGGAGTCTGTTCTGATTTCTTTCGGGAGCTTCTTGGAGTTCTCTTGGGGCGTCTTGGGGGTCTCTTGGCAGCAGTCCCAGGCGACTCTTGAGGCGTCTTGGGTGCCAGCAGGGGGCCTCTTGGAGCCTCTTGGGGGTCTCTTGGAGCCTCTTGGGAGGCATCTTGAGGACATCGTGGGGGCCTCTTGGGGCCTCCTGGGCACCTCTTGGGGCCATGTTGGGGCGCCCTCGGGAGCAACATTGGGGCCATCTTGGAGGAGATCGATCACAGGTCCCCCCCCAGGAGTCCAACATGTGGCCAACATCGTGATCCATAACTGATTTTGGGTTTCTCGCCATCTTGGAGGTCTCTTGGGAGCCTCTCATGGGCATCTTGGGCGCCTCTTGGAGGCCTCTTCAGGGCCTCCTGGGCACCCCGTGGGGCTGTTTTTGGGCACGTTTTGGAGCCTCGGGAGCAATATTGGGGCCATCTTGGAGGAGATCGATCAAATGAGGGGGGCTCCTCAATTCGGGTCCCCCCCAGGAGTCCCAACTGTGGCCAAAACCTACGTAACATCAACGATCTTTGGTTTCTCGCCTAGGCCTCTAGGGGCGTCTTGGGTGCCTCTGGGGGGCTCTTGAGGCGTCTTGGGGGTCTCCTGGGAGCCTCTTGGGGGCATCTTGGGAGCATCTTGGGTGCTTCTCGGGGCCTCCTGGGCACCTCTTGGGGCCGTGGGCCCCCTTGGGAGCCTCGGGGGTCATCTCAGGGGGATCTTGGAGGAGATCGATCAAATGAGGGGGGCTCTTTACTAGGGTCCTCCCACAGGAGGCCCAACTGTGGCCCAAACCTACGTAACATCAATGATCTTTGGTTTCTCGCCGAGGCCTCTTCGGGCGTCTTGGGCGTCTCTGGGGGGGCTCTTGAGGCGTCTTGGTGGTCTCCTGGGAGCCTCTTGGGGGCATCTTGGGGGCATCTTTGGTGCTTCTCGGGGCCTCCTGAGCAACTCTTGGAGCCGTCTTGGGGCACCCTTGGGAGCCTCGGGGGTCATCTCAGGGGTATCTTGGAGGAGATCGATCAAAGGAGGGGAGCTCCCCAATTTGACCCCCCCCCTCCACCAGGAGGCCAACATGTGGCCGACACTGTAGTAAAACAAGCTTCCTCGCCGAGGCCATCTTGGACGCCCCAACGTCTTGCGAAGCGCCGCGTCCAGACCTGGGGGTAGGGGGTATGGGGGAGGAGAAGACCCCTCAGGGAAAGAAGGGGGTTGGAAG